CGTCACATATCGCACACAGGGTGAGGTAGTCAGCCCAGGGTGTCAGTCACGTGGGCCTGACGTTACATATCGTACACAGGGTGAGGTAGTCAGCCAAGGGTGTCAGTCACGTGGGCCTGACGTCACATATAAGAACATAGGAACATAAGAATGGAGGAAACTGCAGCGGGCCTATTGGCCCATACTGGGCAGTCCAGTTTACACCCAACCCCAATTGCTCATATAAGCATCCAACCTATGTTTGAAGCTATTCAGCGTATTCGAGTTAATGATGATATTTGGTAACTTGTTCCATTCATCCACTACTCTGTTTCCAAACCAGTGTTTACCGATTTCACGCCTAAATCTAAATTTATCTAATTTAAAACCATTGTTACGAGTTCGCTCCTGGTTGGATAGTATGAGTACCTTTGTAATGTCCCCTTTGTTTAGCCCTGCCTTCCACTTATACACCTCTATCAGGTCGCCCCTCGCTCTACGTCTCTCGAGGGAGTGCAAATTAAGATGCTTTAGCCTGTCTCTATACTCAAGGTTCCTAATGCCCGGGATTAGTCTTGTCATTCTCCTCTGAATTCTTTCCAAGGATTCTATATCCATTCTGTAATACGGTGACCAGAACTGAACTGCGTAGTCCAGGTGTGGTCTCACAAGAGCAAGATACAGTTTTAGGATGACCTCGCTAGTCTTGTAACTAACACTCCTTTGAATGAACCCAAGTACTTTATTAGCCTTGTTACGAGCAAAAACACATTGTTTACTTGGTTTAAGGTTCCTACTAATCATTACTCCTAAATCTCTCTCGCAGTCGGATTTCTCTATGGCATCGTTGTTCATCTGGTATCTGGTTTCCCTGTTTACATCTGCTATACTGAGTACTTTACATTTGTCGACGTTGAATTTCATCTGCCATTTTTAAGACCATTCGAAAAATTTGTTTAGATCTTCCTGTAGTTTTGCAGAGTCCTCGTCAGATTTAATAACACGTCCTATTTTAGTGTCATCAGCAAATTTACTTATGTTGCTGTCTATGCCGATATCTATGTCGTTTATGTATATAATAAATAATAATGGTCCAAGTACTGAGCCTTGGGGAACACCACTTGTGACGTTGCTCTAATGGGACTTAGTGCCGTTAATGCTCACTCGCTGTTTCCTGTCCTGTAACCACGCCCTAATCCATTTAAGGATGTCACCTTTGATGCCATGTGCTTCTACCTTTCTAATTAGTCTTTCGTGGGGGACTCTGTCGAAGGCTTTGCTAAAGTCGAGATATACCACATCATAATTGTGCCCCTCATCCACCGATTCGAAAACTGATGAAAAGAATGTTAATAGATTAGTTAGGCAAGAACGTCCGCTTGTGAAGCCATGCTGGGAATCATTGATCAATGGGTGCTTCTCCAGGTGATTTCGAATAGAGTTTGAGATGATTGCTTCCAGTAATTTGCCTACTATTGATGTTAGACTGATTGGGCGGTAGTTAGAGGATAGTGATCTATCCCCCTTCTTGAAAATCGGTATTACATTCGCTATCCTCCAGGATTCTGGTACTACACCTGTTTTTAAGGACATGTTAAACAACTTTGCTAAGGGCATACTAAGCTCTTCCTTACATTCCTTTAATACTCTGGCAAATATCTCATCGGGACCAGGTGACTTATTAGGCTTTAGTTTGTCTATTTGCTTACTAACAACGTTACTAGTCACTACTATCTCACTTAATTTGTTTTCTTCACTATCTTTGAATAGAGTCGGTGCCTCGGGTATCATGTTTAAATTTTCGGTGGTGAAAACTGTTGAAAAATATTTATTCAAATTATTGCTCATTTCTCTGTCGTTATCAGTGAGCTCGCCGGTGTCTGACAGTATTGGTCAAATCTTTTCTCGTGTTTTAGTTTGATACATTTGGTAGAATCCTTTGGGGTTTGTCTTCGCCTCCCTTGCTATCCTTACCTCATTATTCCTCTTTGCTTTCCTTATCTCGGTTTTAACCCTACTCGCCAATACCCTATAATAGTCCCGGAGGTGAATTTCGCCACGATTTATCCTTCTACCTATAGCCTTCCTTTGGCCAATGATGTTCCTTAAATAATTATTAATCCATTTAGGGTCATTGTTGTCTGATCTGAGTTTTTTGTATGGTATGTTCTGCCTTTGTGCATTAAGTAACTCACTATTTAAATTGTCGTGGAACTCGGCAATCTCAGATCTCGTTATCAGGTGGGTGTCATCTGACAGGTTCACGGCCAAGCGCGACACCCCCTCTCTCAGCTGCCTCTTTAAACTGTCAAAGTTCGCCCTTCTGAAATCTGGTACTTTAGTGGAATTTTCCTTACGTCTGCCCTGAAAATCTAACTGGAATCTAATTTCTTTGTGATCGCTGTTTGCAAATTCGTTCCCTACCTCGACCCTGCTAATGAAGTTTTCTCTGTTTAACAGAACTAAATCGAGTATATTATTACCCCGTGTGGGTTCAGTTATATGTTGACTTAGAAAACAGTCCTGGATAGTCTCGAGAAAATCCTCTGATTCTGAGTTACCTGTAAGGTCAGTCCAATCTATTTCGCCAAGGTTAAAGTCGCCTACTATACAGACTTTGTTGTGTGTGGAAGCCCTGCGCATTTCATCCCAGATAAGTCGCTCTTTGACTCTATCAAGATTGGGAGGTCTATATATTACTCCTGTGATTAATTTTTCTCTACCGTCGATTAATTCTATCCAAATTGTTTCTGTATTCCGCTCAGTTTTTATTTCCTTATTTATTTCACACTTCAGATTATCCCTAACATAGATTGCTACTCCGCTTCCTTTCCTGGTCTGCCTATCGGTATGGAACAGTTTGTAACCCGCAATTTGGCATTCGACTGGTAACTCACGCGTGTCTAGGTTGGCTCCATGTTTCAGTGAATGCAACTATATCGATTATTTCGGTACATACCAAGGCCCTAATATCATCCATTTTGTTTCTCATACTTCTACTGTTTGCGTAGTATACATTTAAGTTAGTCGTGTTCTGAGTCCTCCCGTTACCGCGTTTAGTTTTAAACTCCCTGTCTAATTCAGTTTTGTCATCATTCCTAACACTATTTCCCTGTAAAATTTCACTTTGTTTACCCGCTCCCACTGCAGTCTCCTCCACCCCCGTGCTCATATGTTCTCCTAGCAGTTTAAAGACTTCGATATCTTTTGAACTGCCTCCTCTAGAGCCCCAGCCAGGGTTGCTACTCCATCCCTAGACAGGTGCACCCCATCCCTAGCATAAAGGTCCCTTCTGTCATAGAAGTTGTCCCAGTTGTCAATGAATGGGACTGATATTGACTTGCAATATCTGTCAAGACGGTCGTTGACACCAACCGCCCTTGACAACCATTCACTGCCAACTCTCCTTCTAGGCAGGACACAGCATATGATAGGGATCCCTCCCTTAGTCCTAATACGATCTATAGCTGCCTTGAACTTATCAAGAAGCTCCTCACTCCTACACCGGCCAATATCATTGCCTCCTGCACTGAGGCAGATAATGGGTTTGTTCCCATTACCAGACAAGATATTGTCCATCCTGTCAATTATATCCCCCACCCCAGCTCCTGGCAAACACACCCTCATCCTATTTTTGTTTTTACCACAAAAGGCCCTGTCCATGTACCTTACCTGTGAGTCACCAACAATTAAAGTTTTTATACCTTCCTTGTCATCCCTGTCCCTGACTGTACTAACGTCCAATTCGTCTATCAAGGGACTGAACGAGTTGGTACACTTAGCTGTTGTTGTCGTTGTTGACGTATCCTTGGTGTACTTCTTCACCACCAGCTTGGTCCTCCCACTACTCACAACTTTCCACTCGCTTGAGTTTTCGTCAGACACTGGCTTTACTCGTCCAGCCTCCCCTTTTAACTTCGCCAGCTCTTCTTTTAATTTCAGGTTCTCCAACGTGGCCCTCTCAATTTCTTCATTGGCCTTGGCCAATTTTTCCATGGACCACTCCAGTTTGGTCAACAAACTCTCATACCCAAGACCGCACATAGCACTGGCCATATCTGATAATTATCCCTCCGGAGCTAACCCTGCCGTGACCTTTCCCCTAGTGAGGTCAGAACATCGCACATGTGGTGGGGTAGTCAGCCCCGGGTGTCAGTCACGTGAGCCTGACGTCACATTTCGTAGACAGGGTGAGGTAGTCAGCCCAGGGTGTCAGTCATGTGTGCCTGACGTCACATATCTCACACAGGGTGAGGTAGTCAGCCCAGGGTGTCAGTCACGTGGGCCTGACTTCACATATCGCACCAGGGTGAGGTAGTCAGCCCAGGGTGTCAGTCACGGGGGTATGACGTCACATATCACACAGTTTTATATAAGAAAATATCTTTATATAAACTAAATATTTTCAAGAACCGATTTAGTTTTCAATCCAGGTCGAACACATATCAGTCAAACAATTGTCTCTTCAGAGTTGAATCGAACCCGGAACCGAAGGATTGCTAGTCGAGTGCTATAACCACAGTTACTTAGGACTCGATGGGGGTAAATAATTTGGGTCGAGTGCAGTTTGTTTACAATCTTTATACGAGGTGTTAGCCAACCTGAGGCTGGGTGTTTATATGAATGTATGTATGCATGTATGTATGTATGTATGTATGTTTGTTTGCATGTATGTATGAATGTATGTATTTATAAATGTATGTATGAATGAATGTATGTATGTATGTTTGTATGTATATATTTTAACACTACATGAATATGTATACAAGAATGTTGTACAATGAAAGACAAAAGTCGTGTCGTGAAATTTGGTGAAAACATGTGCCGAAGGGCTAAAACTTTTGGTGTGCTCTGCCATGTGGTAGGGCTCTCATAAAGTTTCACGAGTGATATTTAATCTTCGGACAAAACCGCGACACGACGTTTGTCTTTCATTGTATGTATGACTGATATTATTTACGGTGACTAAAATTAACTAATAATGACTAAATATAATTACTGATAAACTAATGGTGACTCACCCTTCCATAGGAGTGAGATTAAACGTCTCAAGTACACTGGTTGGAGTCCCGGCATGAAACTCAAGGGAACAAGGGCAGCCGTTCACCTCGCTGTCCAAGTCCCCCAGTTCTATAATAACCGACTCGACGAGGTGTGGCTCCATATTCTCCAGTATCCTTGCGTAGCTGTGAGCCTGTGAGAGAGAGAGAGAGAGAGAGAAAATTAGTTTTCGTGTTGCTTTCGGTAAAAAATACTACAATAGCGCATTTTTTTCTCAGCTGAGAAAAGATGCCCCGCCTCCTCCTCAAAATTTACAGCTGATTGGCTGTTGCAAACCTGTCCGATTTTGTCCTAAAGTAACGATGTATTTCTAAATGAGTTTATTCATAATCGTTGGGATGACCGTTTCTGACGAGAAAGATATTTAGCTAAATTGTATAAAGATACATACATTCATTATTTCAAACATAAGCAAGTAGGAAGTTTATCAGAAGTATTATACATGAATTACTGTAACTGTTAAACTCTGGTAGCAAATTCACGCTTTCGAAAGATGCATATATTATATACTTATTTTTACCCACAATAAGGCATACTAAGACAAATTATGTATCAGTGATACTACATTATGCAAAAGCAACATCTTAAAAAATCAGAATCACATTGAAATATTACACAACCGTCAGCAGAGGCGGGAAAAATGACTGCGAACAACTATGATCTAATATATCAGCTATGACCTATTATATCCAGCTATGACCTAATATATCCAACTGTGACCTATTATATCCAACTATGACCTATTATATGCAATTATGATCTAATATATCGAGATGTGACCTATTATTTCCAGCTATGATGTAAGATATCCAGCTGTAACCGATTATATCCAACTGTGACATAGGAAATCCATCTTTAACCTAATATATCCAACTGTGACCTAATATATCCAGCTGTAACCTATTATATCCAACTGTTATCTATTATATCCAGCTATAACCTAATATATCCAGTTGTGACCTATTATATCCAACTAAGACCTATTATATCCATATTTTACCTAATATATCCAACTGTGACTTAATATATCCAGCTGTAACCTAATATATCCAGCTGTAACCTATTATATCCAGATGTGACCTATTATATCCATCTCTAACCTAATATATCCAGCTTTTAACCTATTATATCCATCTACAACCTAATATATCCAGGTGCGACCTAATATATCCAGCTGTGACCTATTATATCCAACTGTGACCTATTATATCCATCTACAACCTAATATATCCAGCTGTGACCTATTATATCCAGCTGTGACCTATTATATCCAACTGTGACCTATTATATCCATCTATAACTTAATGTATCCAACTGTGACCTATTATATCCAACTACAACTTAATATATGCAGCTGTGACCTATTATATCAGTCTATAACCTAATATATGCACCTGTTACCTATTATATACATCAATAACATGCAGCTGTGACCTATTATATCCATCTACAACCTAATATATGCAGCTGTGACCTATTATATCCATCTATAACTTAATGTATCCAGCTGCGACCAATTATATCCATCCATAACATAATATATCCATCTTTGATCTATTATATTCATCTATAACCTAATATATCCAACAGTGACCTTTTATATCCATCTATAACCTAATATATTCATCTATGAACTATTATATCATCTATAACCTAATTTATCCAGCTTTTACCTATTATATCCATCTATAAGCTAATATATCTAGCTGTGTCCTATTATATCCATCTATAACATAATATATCCTGCTTTGACCTATTATATCCATCTATAACATAATATATCCAGCTTTTACCTATTATATTCATCTATAAGTTAATATATCTAGCTGTGACCTAATATATCCATCTATAAGCTAATATATCCAGCTGTGACCTATTATATCCATCTATAAGCTAATATATCCAGCTGTGACCCATTATATCCATCTATAAAATTATATATCCCCAAGACACAAGGAAACAACCCTGCCCTACCGGCCTGAGGAAGTGTGGGTAGTTATCGTTGAGATCATTAATGATGACGTGTACGGTAGCAGGGTCAGCATCGTGACCTTTGCCCCCTTCATCGTTGGCTCGTGGGTAGAGGGTGATGGTGCCACGAATCGCTGCCTCTCTGTCCAGGCACTGTGTGTGTGAGAGAGAGAGAGAGAGAGAGAGAGAGAGTGAGGGGAGGATTGAGAATGAAGGAGAGTGGGGAGCGAGAATGGGAGGAAGGAAGGTGCAGGGTTATGGCGCCCCCTTGTCCATTTTAGTTTAAAAATTTATTTACAAAGCTTGGAGTACAGTTTGCCTATTCTGAGTAGTTCATACAGGTCTTGACACTGAGGGTGGTATCACTTCTCACTGCCATACAGGACAGAGGTTCATACATAAAGGAATAGATCTTATTCAGTAACAATATATATAGATCAATTTCATGTGGGTTGATGTCGCTGTTCACTGTCATGCAGGACAGAGGTTCATACACAAGGAAATGCATCATATTCATTAGCAGTATATATAGGTCAAAGTCATGTTTGTGATGTCACTGTTCACTGCCATGCAAGACAGTGGTTCATATAATTGGACGTCATATTCTAATTGAAGACTAATCAGTGTGGGCTAGCAAATTTTGGATAAACAGCAAGAATGTCCTCAAGCACCCCTGATTCAATGTAGTAATTACAAAGTTCATGATACAATAAGTCAGGTGGCCTGAAGTCTTTGACAGTGTCACATTCAATAATATCGTGTCCAAGTGTATAGTTTAAAGGTTTATCACAAAGTTTACATTCTGAGTGTTCCGGTATGGGTAAAGCGTTACTAACTTGCCAAATGTGTCTATATCCAAGCCTAATTCTGGCCACGACTACATCACATTGTCTGGTTTTCCTTATGCTGGCCATACCGGTACCTCTCGTCACAAAATTTGTCATATTTACTAATGCTACAACTGCCAGGTCTCTCTGCATTTCTCAGTTCTTCTAGATCAGAGTTCATGATTCTGACTTGAATGTTTTTAAGTACAGCATTGGACAGGCCAAGGTCACGGTCAACATTTTCTTTCTTATATGCCTCATTGGCCAGTCTATCAGAACGGTCATGATACCTAATTCCAACATGGGACGGAATCCACACAAATTCGATACGAGAGTTGTTCTCATTGGCAGTTATCATTTTTTTTTTAATATCTCACACAACTTTAGACATAGAACCTGACGGGCTGTTCATTGATTTCAATGCACTTTGAGAGCCACAGAATATCACCCCACCTCCATTTTCTTCAAAGTAGTTTGGGGACCATGGTTCTTCAACACATTGACATAAAACATGGTATTAAGTCTTATTCTCTCAGATAGGGAGGGCAGCCAGAGCTCTTTCCTCATGTTTACAATTCTGGCTGATTTGGGGAAACCTAGAATGATGCACATAGCTTCATATTGCACTACCTCAAGGCTGTTGAGTTGTTTAGGCGGAATAGTCACAAGATGGAGAGCATGATAGTCAACTACAGAACGAATGAGTGAAGATAGAAAGTACGAGCATAGGTGATGGTAATTCCATAGCCCTTGCCAACAAGGGTTCTGAAGGGTTTAATTCTCAGCATTAGTTTGGCACGAAGGTTGCCAACAAAGTTTGCATCATTCACACATTTTCCAAGATATTTATAAGAGCTACATAGATCTAAGGACATGCTGTTAATGTTAAAGTCAAGAGTCAGAGGGTGAGCAGGACGAGGATTGAAGACCCTCATCTTGTCAACAGATATTATGAGACCACATTCCACAGTCTTCTGAGCAAATACATCCAGCAAGGCTTAAAGCCTGAGCTTGGTCTGTGTTCATAATGCAGATATCATCAGTATAGCATATTACAGCCTCGTTTGACTGAACTGGAATGTCAGCAATAAGCTAGTGCATCAGTATATTAAAGAGCATAGGACTTAACACTCCTCCCTGAGGCGTGCCAAGCTCAAATGCTCTCATTCTGGTACTTTTGACTGCCTGAAACAGGATACTGGCATACTTATTGGACAGTTAACCCTTTATCCATGTCAGGAGGTTACCTTGGATGCCCATATTAGGTAGTTCCTCAAGAATAATGTCTCTATTAGCTACATCAAAGGCTGATTTATGGTCTTTGAAGGCTGTTTGTGTCTTATCTTTTGAGTGAACAAGATATTCTGCAAAGCATGTCTGTGTGCTGCGTCCAGGTTTGAACCCATGCAGATTATCCAGGCACTATGAGTGAAAGAGAGAAAGAGAGTAAGTGAGAGGGGGCAGTGACAGTAGAGGGTCAAGGTGCCCAGTATCGTTGCTTCCCTGTCCAGGCACAGTGAGAGTGAGAGCGAGTATTAGTGAGGGGAGGGAGTAAAGGGAGAGGGGAGGATGTGAGATAATAAGTGTTTGAGGGAGAGAGAGAGAGTGCTAAGACACACACACACACACACACACCAATAAAGGAACATTTCCTGTTCTCTCTCAGCGTCGTTTTGTTCACCTTAACAACATTAGAAAAGCGATTTCTACTCTCTGATAGTCTTTGTCCAGGCGAGGAGTTGTCCGTGTATTTGTTGTAGTGTTGTGTGGTAGTGTTGTACGTTTGTTGTAGTATAGTGTGTTTGTGGTAGTGTAGTGTGGCAGTGTTGTGTTTGTTGTAGTGTTGTGTGTTTGTTTTAGTGTTGTGTATCTGTTGAAGTGTTGTGTGTTTGTTGTAGTGCTGTGTGTTTGTTGTAGTGTTGTATGGTAGTGTTGCGTGTTTCTTGTAGAGTTGTGTGGTAGAGTAGTGTGTTTGTTTTAGTGTTGTGTGTATGTTGTAGTGTTACATGTTTGTTGTAGTGTTAGGTGTTTGTTGTAGTGTTGTATGTTTATTGTAGTGTTGTGTGTTTGTTGTCGTGTTCTGTGTTTGCTGTAGTGTTTTGTGTTTGCTGTAGTGTTGTGTGTTTGTTGTAGTATTGTGTGTTTGTGGTAGTATTGTGTGTTTATTGTAGTGTTGTGTGTTGTGTTGTTGTGTGTTTAATGTTGTGTGTTTGTTGTAGTATTGTGTGTTTGTGGTAGTGTTGTGTGTTTGTGGTAGTGATGTGTGTTTGTGGTAGTGTTGTGTGGTTGTGTGAGTGTTGTGTGGTAAGTGTTGTGGGTTTTGTTGTGTGTCTATTGTAGTGTTGTTTTGTTTTGTGGTAGTGTTGTGTGTTTGTGGTAGTGTAGTGTGTTTATGGTTGTGTTGTTTGTTGTGGTAGTGGTGTTGTTTGTTTGTTGTTTGTTTGTGTTGTTGTGTGTTTGTGGAAGTATTGTGTGTTTGTGGTAGTGTTGTGTTTTTGTGGTAGTGTTGTGTGTTTGTGGTAGTATTGTGTGTTTGTGGCAGTGTTGTGTGTTTGTGGCAGTGTTGTGTGTTTGTTGCACTGTTGTTTGTTTGTTGCACTGTTGTGTGTTTGTTGTAGTGTTCTGTGTTTGTGGAAATGTTGTGTGTTTGTGGCAGTGTTGTGTGTTTGTGGTAATGTTGAGTGTTTGCTTTAGCAATGTGTGTTTGTGGTAGTGTTGACTGTTTGCTGTAATGTTGTGTGTTTGTGGTAGTGTTGTGTTTTTGTTGCACTGTTGTGTGTTTGTGGTAGTGTTGTGTGTTTGTTTCAGTGTTGTGTGTTTGTGGTATTGTTGTGTGTTTGTGGCAGTGTTGTGTGTTTGTGGTAGTGGTGTGTGTTTGCTTAGCAGTGTTGTGTGTTTGTGGTAGTTGGTGTGTGTTTTTGTGGTAGTGTTGTGTTTTGTGGTAGTGTTGTGTTTGTGGTAGTGTTGTGTGTTTGTGGTTGTTGTGTTTGTGGTAGTGGTGTGTGTTTGTAGCAGTGTTGTGTGTTTGTGGCAGTGTTGTGTGTTTGTGGTAGTGGTGTGTGTTTGTGGTAGTTGTGTGTTTTTGTGGTAGTGGTGTGTGTTTGTGGTAGTGATGTGTGTTTGTTGTAGTGTTGTGCTTTTGTGGCAGTTTTTATTTATTTATTTGTTTTATTGGGCACTCCCCTTGATCCTTGTGTAAGGTGAAGCGCAGAAGCGTTTATAGTGCCCAACAGGGAAGCATGCTAACTAAGTTCATGCTTGCCTTATGTCTGATGAGTCAAATGCGTAGAAGCCTGAAGAGTCAAGGGCGTAGAAGCCTGAAGAGTCAATAGTTTTATGTCTAAGCAAGTTATTGTAAACTCCAACAACTTGTCCCTGAATGCGAATTCGCAACTTTCGATTTACAGCAGGTATCTACTTTGGTGCTAGGTGAACAGGAACCAGGGCGACTAGGAAGAGTGTTAAAACACCTTCCGCCGGCCCGGGAATTGAACCCGTGACATCTTGCTTGCGAGGCAAGAGCGGTACCGCTCCACCAGCGGCCCCCTTTTGTGGCAGTGGTGTGTGAGTTTGTGGTAGTGATGTGTGCTATTGTGTTTGTGTTTGTGTTTTTATCTGTTGATGTAATGGTGGTTTGTTTGGAAGATAAACACACATTCAGTAGTTCACTTATTAAAGAGATCTGATTTATCCACACCCTTTAGAGTTAGGTTAAGTTAGGTTAGGTTAAGTTGGGTTAGGTTGGGTTAGGTTAGGTTAAATTTAGTTAGGTTAGGTTAGGTTAAATTTAGTTAGATTTAGATTAAATATAGTTAGGTTAGGTTAGGTTGGGTTAGGTTTAAGTTATGGAGGGTTTGGTTAGGTTATATCAACAAAGATATCTGATATACTCACGCCCTTCATAATCAGTTGTCCTGATCGGTCTCCTATACTGAAGTTTCTCAATTCAGCGGGCGACAGGTAGTAGAGGATGTTCTGATTGGCTGTCGACGGGAGATCAGGATCCAGCGCTGACACCTGGGTAGTCAATGGCAGTGATCAGGTGTAGAAATGTAATTAATTCTATGTAAGTACTAGTAATCATCTGATAAGTAGTGATAGAAAGAGATGTTCTGGTTGGCTGTGTGTGTGTGTGTGTGTGTGTGTGTGTGTGCATACATCCATGTGTGTGTGTGTGTGTGTATGTGTGTGTGTGTGTGTGTGTGTGTGTGTGTGTGTGTGTGTACATGCGTGTGTGTGTGTGTGTGTGTGTGTGTGTGTGTGTGTGTGTGTGTGTGTGTGTGTGTGTGTGTGTGTGTGAATATGTGTGTGTTTGTGTCTGTGTGAATATGTGTGTGTGTTTGTGTCTGTGTGAATATGTGTGTGTGTGTATATACGTATATACGTGTATGTGTGTGTGTCAACCAGATATGTAGACAGATATATAAAGAGAAAAAGTGAGAGAGAGAGAGAGAGAGAGAGAGAGAGACTTACCTTGCCCAGCACCACGGAGCAGTCAGTGTTCTCGGTGACGCTGAAGGTGTAGTTACTGTGCTCAAACACGGGTTGGAGGTCGTTCACGTTGGCTACTGCGATGGTGATGTCTGTCTCAGCTGGCTCGTTCCTCCCGTCACTCACACGCACCCTCATCGTGAACTGGGTGGAGAAGAGGTGGTGTAAAGTGAGAGGAGGAGAGAAGGTATAAAGTGGGTGGTGAAGAGGAGTGAAGTGGGTGGAGGAGAGGAGGTATAAAGTGGGTGGAGAAGAGGTGTGAAGTGAGTCGAGGAAAGGAGTTGTAAAGTGGGTGGAGGTTGGAAGTGGGTGAAGGAGAAGCGGTGTGACGTGGGTGGAGGAGAAGAGGTGTAAAGTGGGTGGAGAAGAGGTTTGAAGTGGGTGGAGTAGAATATGTGTAAAGTGGGTGGAGAGAGGAGTAAAGCTGGTGGAGGAGAGGAAAAGAGAAAGTGGGCGGAGGAGAAGAGGTGTAAAGTGGATGGAGGAGGGAAGTGAAGTGGGTGGAGGAAATGAGATGTTAAGTGGGTGGAGGAGAGGAAGTGGGAAATGAGTGGAGGAGAGGAAATGTAAAGTTTGTGGGGGAGAAAAGTCAACTGATTCGAGGAGACAAATTACTAGACTGACAGAGAGACTGACAGGCAAAAAGTGAGCCAAAAGACAAACAAACGGACGGTCGTTCAGCCACACTGTTTACATATCACACGAATAAAAAATTGCCCATCGACTTTCACTGGCCAATGATATACCTAGGACACGAGGATGCTTTCACCTGCTGTTTAAAAAGGTCCTGTGGCTGGTAGGTGGTGAAAGCACCGCGATTTGACCCACCGAAGATGTGAAAGGAGAGTGAGAGAGTAGTTTTGACATGAATCTAATTTTTTTTAAGAGTTATATGGAGATTAGACCGTATGCGTGCAAGAGAGAGAGAGAGAGAGAGAGAGAGAGAGAACACACCCGGCCATCAGCGAGGGAAACAGGGGGTGTTAGCATAAGGTTGATATATTGATTCAGGTGTAATAATGAGGATTAGATACAGGTGTTAACCTCGGGCTGATACTCTGCTCATCACGGCAACAGACGAAGATAGTCACCAAAATGACCAACTTATAACCCAGACTTCGTTCTTACCTTCTGTTAAGTATTGTGTGTGTGTGTGTGTGTGTGTGTGTGTGTGTGTGTTTGTGTGTGTGCTTTACCTTCTTCTGGAAGGGTAATCCTTCTGCAGAGAGAAATCGCATTTATGGAGTTGGCTTTGCCATCGTCAATGCATCCTGTACAGGCTAACTGAAATGCCTGTTGGGATCAAGGAGTGCCTCATGACGCTCCGAGTCCCACTGAATCACTCACGACATACCTTCTTCATCAGTGCATACTCCCCAACACTGAATGCAAAGGACAACATCCAGGAGGACCTTTTACGCCAACCTTGACAGAGTGCCAACCTTTATCCCCAGAGAAGATAAGGTGGTGCTACTAACGGTAACTTCAATGCCAGAGTACAGCAGAGATGCTGACATATGGGAGGAATCATAGGGAGAAATGAACTAGGCAAGTATAATCCCAACGGCCTACTCCTCCTCAGCAAGTGTGCTGCACACAATCTCACTATCACCAATACCTTGTTCAGGCAGGCAGACAAGTTCAAGGGTTCGTGGCAACACCCACGATTCAAACACTAGCATACGTGGTTCAGACCACTATGACACTGATCATCGGCTCGTCAGAGCTAAGCCCTCACTTCACATCGTCCCAAAACGGCGAAGGCAAGAAGCCTCCAAAAGAGGTCTTTAAAACTAAGCATCTTGAGGATCCAGTGGGAGCACATGCTTTCAGAGAGCAGCTCGAACATGGGCTGATAAACGACCAGACAACAAAAACCCCAATTCCAGTGCCGAATGGGGTATCCTCGACAATGTCATGCCTAAAACGTGCAGAGAGACCCTCGGCCAGATCGAAAGAATACACCAGAACTGGTTTGTTGAAAATGACCCTGAAGTCAACATACTCGTCGATGATAAGCGTGCTGCATTAACTGACTGACAGTATAACCCTCAGTCTCGGATAAAAGTTGATACCTTCTGCAAGAAGAAAGCAGTAGCCCAGAGCGAACTTTGCAATCTAAAGAACGACTGGTTTAAAAAATAAAGCATATGAAAAGCAAAAAACTTGCAGATCACCACAAGATGCACGAATATTTCAATTCCACTAAAGCATGTTAAGGGCCAATCACTCATGGAGCAGCCCTCCTCCACTCATCCAACGGTAACTAGTTAATTAAAGACGAAAAAGGCATCCTTCAGTGTTGGAATGAGTATTACCATTCGCTGCTCAACTGAAACACCGATGTGGATGTACTGACTACCCAGTAGGCCCCTTAGCATCGAAAGCTGACTCACCTCAGCTATCCTTCATCCCTGAATGAGGTAACTACTGCCATCAAATTGATGAAAAATAACAAAACCTCAGGGCCTGTTGGAATCCCAGCCGAGGTGTATAGGCTTACCAGCCGTCTCCTCTCCTGGAGAATATATGGGAGAAGGAGGGAATCCCCAAAGCTCTCAAAGACGCCTCCACCGACAATATTTATAAGAACAAGGGCTGTATGTATATTATGTATGTTGTATGTATATTATGTCTGTACTCCATTTACATACATTATTTATTCAGCCTAGCTAGCAGCGTGTGGCAATGTATTTGCCATGTCCCATATGCTTAGATAATGTGCCTGGCGACATATGGAAGCTGCTACATGTATCACTTGCCACATGTACCGTCTTGCTTGTACCTCTGTGCAGATCCAGCAAATAGAACATACAAAGAACTATACAGGTGTTTGTTTTCGCTCCTGTAGTAGAACTGAGTTCCCAGAACATGTACATGGCGCAGTGTTAATTGAATGGATTAGTGCAAGTGCTTTTGTGCAAAGTCTGTGGCAAGACCGGCTCATGGACCCCCCACCCCGGGAATATTGACTGCAAGGCCCTCGACCGGGGTCTCCTTGAACTCTGCAACACACTCAATTACACCGGACGCTCCCCTGCCCAGGTGTTGTATGGACGCCCCCTTCGTTCTTGTGTCCCTGCTCACCCTCAGTCCTTCTCCAAGGAGTGACAGGCCAAGACAGAGGATTGTGAGCGCCGAGCCGCCGAACGTGTTCATGATGTCGTCGCCCGCTACAACGACCACGCCCGTTCTCTCCCCAAGTTGAGTGTCGGCACCCAAGTCCATGTTCAGGACCCGACCTCCATATGCTGGGACAAAGTGGGCGTAGTCATGGGTCTCGGTAAGTCACGGGATTACCAGGTGCGGTTAACCAGTGGTCGTTGTGTGGTGGAGGAACCGCCGTTTTCTCCGCCCGGTAACAACGCCTTCTGCTGACCCCACCACCAGTGTTGAGTCCCATATCCTCCCCAGTGATCAAGTCCCTCGACGCTCAGAACGGATCCAAAGAAAAGTCCGCTCAAGACTTTGCTATGAGCGTATAGAAGGTATATGTATATTATGTATGTACTCCATTTATATACATTATTTATTCAGCCTAGCTAACAGCGTGTGGCAATGTATTTGCCATGTCCCATACGCTTAGATATGTGCCTGGCGACATATGGAAGCTGCTACATGTATCACTTGCCACATGTCGCCTGAGAGGTCAGTTGACCCATAGAGATAGTAGGGAGTACCGTCTTGCTTGTACCTATGTGCAGATCCAGCAAATAGAACCTACAAAGAACTCTACAGGTGTTTGTGTTCACTCTTGTAGTTAGAACTGAGTACCCAGAACATGTACAAGGACCACCAGTCAGACTGTGGCAACTACTGCGGGATCTCGCTGCTGTCAGTAGCTGGTAATATTATCGCCCGAGTCTTCCTAAACAGACTTCTTCCCAAGGCGGAAAGCTTACTCCCAGAATCTCAATGTGCTACCCGCCAGATACATGAAAAGTGCAATTAACTGGATCGTGACCTGTATCTGGCTTTCATCGATCTAACCAAGGCCTTCGACTCGGTAAACAGGGAAGCTCTCTGGCGGACCCTCAGCCATTTTGGCTGCCCACCAGAATTCATCGCCATTGTGAGGCAACTCCACGATGGCATGAACGGCACTGTCCTGCACAATGGCATCTAGTCTGAGTTCTTTTCCATCCAAACGGGGATAAGACAAGGATGTGTACTGACACCAACTCTCTTTTCCATTTTCTTGGCTGGCTTCCTTACTCATGTCAGTGCCAATTTATCCTACGGGGTGACATCCAGTACCGGATGAAGGGTCTTTTCAACATAAGACGACTTCAGGAAGGAACAAAGGTCCCGGCAGCTTCCACAACTGAACTTCAATATGCAAACGACCTCACCAATGTCACTGACACTGAACGCGACGTACAGGTGATCCTGAACACTTATGCAGACTTCGGCCTTGAAGTGAATATACGTAAGATTCAGATTCTCTTTCAACCTGCCCGTGGTTCAGCCACACCTCCATCATGCATCCAGCTTAACGGTACTACCCTCTCTAATGTTACCCACTTTCAGTATCTCGGATCCCACCTGTCCACTACCATGGAAATCGATGAAGAGATCCTACACAGGATGAGATGTGTATCTCAAGCCCTTGGAAGATTCCATACCCATATCTTCAGCTGTAGGGAGCTGAAATTATCTACAAAGTTGCACGTATATCGAGTAGTAATCCTCCCTACCCTGCTATATGGCAGCGAGACATAGGTCAAATAGAGGAGGCAACTCAAGGCACTTGAAAACTTTCACCAACGCAGTCTACGTTCCATCCTCCAAGTTCGCTAGGAAGATAAGAGAACAAATGCCAGTATTATCGCTGACACCAACTGTAGGAGCAGCGAGGTCATGTTACCCCCATGGACGACAGTAGAATGCCAAAGCAGCTACTTTACAGTCACCTAACTAATAGTAAACGTAACGATGGCGGGTAACTGAAAAAAGAATAAGGATAGTCTTAAGACAAATTTGAAAAAGTGCCAAATCGACCTCCTCACCTGGGAGACGATCACTCCGCACTGTAACGCTTGGAGGAGCACCACATAAGGTGTCAGTAGTTTCCAGTTAGTCCGACTGCATAGCGAGGCAAAGAAGTGCCAACACCGGAAAGTGTCTGCCGCCGTTCCTCCGTCACAAGATGTAGCTCTCCACACGCACAACATCTCGGGACGACCCTGCCGGTCCTGTATCGGCCTCTCGAGTCACCTGAGAGCGCTCCAACGAAGGTGACATCCTTAATATCTCACATCATTGTATTATAGCTGGATGATCGTCTTACTCGATTCCGAGTGACAGCAAAGTAGTAGTAGTAGTTGTGTGTGTGTGTGTGTGTGTGTGCATACGTAAACGCAAAAAATTACGTTATCGTGCGTCACATAGAAAGCAACTCAACTCACATTTCTGTCAAAGACGGGATGGTCGTAGTCAAGCAGCTTGTTCACCAACACGTCCCCTATTGAGTCAACCCGGAATTTCTGCTCCTCATTACCTTCCACGATGGCGTAGGTGATGTTGTTAACTGTATGAGAGAGAGAGAGAGAGAGAGAGAGAGATTAATACAATACTTATTACACATATAATGATTTAAACAATTGGGTCAGACTTAACCCTTTAGTTAAGTCATTTTTAACCCCTTGATTTGAAGAGATTACACCCCTTAGTAAGGTTAGATTTAACACTTAAAATTAAGCCAAAATTAACCCTTTAATTTGACGAGATAACACCCCATGGTTAGTTCAGAGATAACCCTTTAGTCACAATCGCTTTAACTCTAATTGAAAGATATTAAGCCCCTTAATGAGCCGTGATCAACCCCTTAAATTGGAATATTTACCTCTTCAATAAGAAAACTTGGCCCCTTTAGGTAAAGATTTGCCCTTTCAAATAGCTTTACATGGGACTTACAGTATTAATATTAACCAGTAAAGGGGTAAATGTAACATAGAGGTTATATTGTGCTGATTAAGGGGTAAATCTGGTGAAGGGTTAAATTGTGCTGATTAAGGGGTAAATCTGGTGAAGGGGTTATTTTTTATTTCGGGTTAAATCTAATAAAGGGGTTACATTATCTTGATTAAGGGGTAAATCTAGTGATGGGTTAAATTGTAATGATTAAGGGGTAAATCTAGTAGAGGTGTTAACTCCTTCAATATTAAGTAGGATAACATATTTCCCTTAAGTATGATAATATTCCCCCAGCAGTAGTAAAATTTTAACATCTCAATAGGATGATTTACCCCTTAGAATACTATAAGCCTCGCATTACGAAGATTTATTACATTTACCCCCAATTACTACACATAACATAATACACTAGAAGGATTTACCCTTTATTACTTTTACCCTCACAAAAGATAATTTACCCCTTAAGTAGGATAACTCACTCTTACATAAGATAATTTACCCCTTACAAAAGATAATTTACCCCTTAAGTAGGATAACTCGCTCTTACATAAGATAATTTATACCTATATAAGATAATTTACCCTTAAGTAGGATAACTCGCTCTTACACAAGATAATTTATACCTATATAAGATAATTTACCCCTTAAGTAGAATAACTCACTCTTACATAAGATAATTTACCCCTTAAGTAGGATAACTCGCTCTTACATAAGATAATTTATACCTATATAAGATAATTTACCCCTTAAGTAGGATAACTCACTCTTACACAAGATAATTTACCCCTTACAAAAGACAATTTACCCCTTAAGTAGGATAACTCGCTCTTACATAAGATAATTTATACCTATATAAGATAATTTACCCCTTAAGTAGGATAACTCGCTCTTACATAAGATAATTTATGCCTACAGTATATAAGATAATTTACCCCTTAAGTAGGATAACTCACTCTTACATAAGATAATTTACCTCTTACAAAAGATAATTTACCCCTTAAATAGGATAACTCGCTCTTACATTAGATAATTTACCCCCTAAGTAGGATAACTCACTCTTACACAAGATAATTTATACCTATATAAGATGATTTACCCCATAAGTAGGATAACTCACTCTTACATAAGATAATTTACCCCTTACAAAAGATAATTTACCCCTTAAATAGGATAACTCGCTCTTACATTAGATAATTTACCCCCTAAGTAGGATAACTCACTCTTAAGAACATAAGAACATAATAATGGAGGAAACTGCAGCGGGCCTATTGGCCCATACTGGGAAGTCCCGTTTACACCCAACCCCTATTGCTCATATAAGCATCCAACCTATGTTTGAAGATATTCAGCGTATTCGAGCATTATGATATTTGGTAACTTGTTCCATTCATCCACTACTCTGTTTCCAAACCAGTGTTTACCTATTTCACGCCTAAATCTAAATTTGTCTAATTTAAAACCATTGTTACGAGTTCGCTCCTGGTTGGATAGTTTGAGTACCTTTGTAATGTCCCCTTTGTTTAGCCCTGACTTCCACTTATACACCTCTATCAGGTCGCCCCTCGCTCTACGTCTCTTACATAAGATAATTTACCCTTACAAAAGATAATTGACCATTTACATATGTGACCCTCGTAACTCACCTACATCCGGGTCATACACCTGGAGTCGTATACCTGTCCGCTCCCCCACCTCCCGGTTCTCAGGTAGCTGGACCTCATAGACCCCAAGAGTTCGCTCCAGCACTGGGGCTACATCGTTCAGGTCCAGGACCGAAATCCAGTAGATGGTCATCCTCTCGTGATCTGTCGGAGGTAGAAGATGGGAAAAAGGGCTTACTGACCAGAGCAAAGGCTGTAGGGGAGTCGTTTAAAACAACAAAGACGTTGAAATTACGTAACACATCAAGGCCTGGTCCGTGATCTTTCAATTAAGGTAAGATTTAATTTTTGATCCCTTGAGAATCCATACTTTGTGATCAAATTTAAGTGAGCCAATTATAGAGGTTTTTATATCAGAAGTTAAGAGGGAAAATTTATCTTAAGACATTTTGATAATCCTTCTTTATGTAGTATCATAACTATGTCAGTTAGATACCTTCTCACTTCTTTGGTTAAGAGAAAAAAAATTCTTATCA